CACTTAAAAATGACTGGTTTAAACCGTGAGGGTGTCGCAAGGGGGGTACGTGCCAAGCTGCAGGGCTTCTAGTTTAGATACTGGTCACCACACCTAGGTGGGGGCCATCTGGAATTTCAGATATTTCGATATCTTGGCCTCTCTCAGGCCACCACCATCTGTGGCTTTTCTGAGAACTGTTTCCACAGAGCTTTTCTGTGGTATTTTCCTGACTTTAGGACTGTAGTAGGTCAGGGGTTAAGTTTCAGAGTAAAATGAGGTCCCAAGTAGAATGAGGTTGCTTAGGTCTTTCATTTGGAAAGAAAAGAAGAACCCCATTTGATCTTTGCACTGAAGTTTAGATTTAGTAGGGCCTAMAGTTTTCATTTTAGCCATGATAGTTAGACAAATGAATATCTTCAATAAATAGTGAGCAACTACTTTGTGATACAGTTTTAAATGTTGCAGACAGAGTCTCTGCCCTCAAGTAGTTTGCATCCTAGAGAATAGATAATAAGTAACCACATAGTGTGAGTTTCAATAAATTCAGTGTAAAGAAATGGAGAGAACTTCCTGGCGGGATCAGGGAGCTRGATGGTTCTATAGATGGTCCTAAACGTCTCACAGATAAATGACCATTGAGTGCAGATGGAAGTGAAAAGGAAGCCATTCAAATGTCTTTAGGAAAATTGTACCCGCAAGGGGGCTGGCCTGGCTGGATGGGACAAGAGAGGGGCAAGAGGAGGACGGGGAAGTCAGGGCTGTGGAGAAGCAGATCCTTATCCCCCATGTAATGCTGTACCTTGGACTCCAGYGGGGTGGGAGGGTTTGGGGCAGGTTTGACACGAGCTGCTTTAAAAGGATCCCTGGACTGTTGTGGCAGAGCAGAAAGGGTCTGGGACAGGGAATTTCAGGCAGATCTGAGACTTGAAGGAACCATAGGCCGCAGGTTGGGAGCAACAGGAACACAGTCACACATGACTGGGAAGGGCAGGTGGAGAGTCCCTGAAGGGCGGACTGGGAAGGGACCTGCTAGGTTCCTGCAGAGGGAGGGCTTGGATGAGTCCAGGCCAGAGGCAACGTCAGACTTGGATAAGGAGAAGAGAAGAAGCTGGGCTCTGAAGGAGAATGTTTGACTCACATATACTAAAGACCCTAAACGATTCTGAAAAAGAAAATTCACTTTACGGAAACAGTAAAATGCCTCGTGCTTCAGTTATGCCTTTCTGTCCACATAAAGAAATTGGGGTGAGTCACACGGTTTCTTGTACCTGTTGAGGCTCCGCTGAGAATCCCAGATGTATGATGTGGCACTTCCAGGGCATACTCACGTGTCCTCTGACTTGAGCAGCTAGAGAAACCAGAAAGGAGAGGTATTAACTCACCTATTTGCTAACTGGAGAGATTTATTTAAACCTACACAGGTTGGTGCAGGGACTCAAATCCAGGCGTCCTGCCGCCCACTGTATTAGTCTCCTTGCTCCCCCAAGTATAGTTCCTGGCCCAGCGGCACCAGAATCCCTTAGGTTCTTGTTAGAAATACACAACTGCACCTGCACCCCCCCCCCAACCTGGAACTTCTGAACCAAAACCCCAGAGAATTACCAAAGTGCTAATCTAGGGTATGTCCCTTGAACCCTCATTTAGCTGTAGATCCCAGGAGGTGTGAGGGGGACAGACATTGATTTCTCACCAGATATGACTTTTCTTTTTCTTTTTGTTTTTGCTTTTAAACATGTATCTTTTCTCCTATCTGCTAATGTTTGCCGTCCCTCTGGTATCTTAATTCTGCCCCTGCCACACTTCCCTGACAAAGTTCTAACAAATAACGGGAAGAAGCTCACATGGGCAGAAGGTAGATGGGCCCAAGGTCTTTGTCCCATAGACACCCACCCCCACCCCCACCCCCGTCTTAAAATGGTTCAGGCAGAGCTAAGATGCTAACCGCATGTTCTCCTTTTAGAGGACCCATCCTGTGTGGATCTCTTCAGCTGGTGCCATCTCGTTCCTCAGCACGGTGTCTGCAACCACAAGTTCTATGGTAAACAGTGCTGCAAGTCCTGCACCAGGAAGAGCTGATCTCCACGTCCTCCTTGACGGCTTCCGGCTAGGGTCTCCCCTTTCAGCCTCCAGCGAGAAGACTGAGCACTGCTAGCCACCAGCGAGCTGGTGCAGGGCTGAGGAGTGGGCAGGTTGCCGTCGGATTYCATCCCCAGAAGCACACGGTACTCTGAAGCACTTGAAAATAGAAAGCGATGACAAATCTGACTTGGAAACAGAAAGAAAGAGAAATCGTTGATTTGCACTGTTAACGTGAAARGCGAGGCATCCCACTGAGGTATGTTGGATTTTACTTTTGACACTGTGAGAGGAGCCCTCTGGAACTTCAGAGGATTCAGTGGMAAAGACATCTGTTTGAAAGAGGTCCCGGTAAGCCTTCAGGTCCAATCAGACCTGGATGGAACRCCTTGCCTGTGACTTGGAGTTCACAGTTTGACTCTGACTGTGAACACCCAAGCCAGGAGTCGTCTCAGAAGCCAAACGGTGCTCACCATTGTGCTTGCTGCTGGACTGGCAAGCTTCATGTTACGTTTATTTAGTGTGTGTGTGTGTGTGTGTTGTTTATTATTTTGTTTAAAGTATATTCTGCTTTATAGAGAAAAGTCTCCAAGACTAAAATTAACAACTTGAAAAGTGTTCAAAGGATTATTCTGGAAGGAGGACGATGCAGACTATTTAAAAATCTCCATGTGATTGAAATTCACACTCGGGTGGAAAACAATCTCATCCAAGGCAAATACCACTGCCCTCTTTGCACGGTTCCCCTCCCGAGTTTTGGTGCTTGCTGAACAATTCCGTGGGAGGCTGGAACCGGCTCTTTGGGGGTGAGTGGTTCATTTCTGGTAAATATCTAGGGCGAGCTAAATGGCAGAACAGCCACGTCCCAAGGAGAGGAGCACGTCATTCATACTGCTCTGTACATATTATCAGAGTGCTTGGAAAATTAAAGGCTGCTTGTGGCTTTTCCTGCCAATAGACAAATTTTAAATTTGCCCCCAGGATTTAGTTAACAAGGGGAAAAAAAAAACACAGTGGCAAGAGAAAAGTCTGCCAGTCTTCTTGCTGCATTATTAATAAATCACAATATGCCAAGACCCTTCAACAAATAAGAGTATTTTCACAGTGTTTCAGATGAATTTTCAGTCAGCAGAAGCCAGCTGTTGTTGGGCATTAATAAGCTTAAAATTGTTCTCAATTGGAAAAACACCACACTGTGTTGCCAAAACCAAAGTAACTTACAAGACTGAACCCCCCTGTAATTTTTTTTTTGAGAAGTGGTTATAAAGGGCATATTTGTATGATGCTACTCTATTCAACTTCTTTGACGAATGTAACCCAATTTTACTGCTTTAAGAAGTCTGAGTTCAGACAAGGATTAGCCAGCTCAGCATAACCAACTAGACCGTGCTTGGTTAAATTTAGCAGCATCCTTTGTTCCCATACTAATTAAAATCATGAGTTCTTGAATCTCAGAGAAAGAGCGATTGGGAGCTTCCCTCCGCCCACKGGAGTGGCGGCCAATTTATCCCCAAATAAAAGTGGTTCCACAGCGCCACCCTCGTGCCCTCCAAAAAATAAATAAAATAAAATGGCAAGTTATTTGTGTCTTTATATAATTATCATTTTGTTATTTTATGGAAAAAAATTAATTTATTAATAGCCTATTATGTGTTATCACTTACTTCACTGAGGAAGTGGTATTCTGAGGAAAAATGTTGAATAAAACCCTGGGTTATAGAGAAAAGTCAAAAAATATATGTGTAATATTTAATTATTTTATAAGTTTTATAATAAAGTATTCTGTTTCTTTATCTTCGAAACTTGTTTAAGTTCTTGAACGAGAGAGTGGRAATTCCATTTATTTCCAAGGTCGTTTAACTGTACAAATGTGGGTCAAAAACATCTCAAAGGAACTTCATTGAGAGAAGGAAAAGATAATGACTTTTCCTCTTTGGGTGAGAAGAAATCCAACTGGAAAAGGCTGCAGTGATTGTGTTCTCCTGTATAGGCTTGTAAACATTTATTTATGGAAATCATCTGAGACAGAGCTACCATAATGAATGGTTAGTCCTGTCTGAAAGGCAGCCTGGTAAAATTTTTGCAAAAAAATGGGAGAGGAGGGAGGGAAGAAGAAAGAAGGAAGAAAAAATAAGGAATTGTTTTTGAAATTTGGAATCATCAGACCTATGGAGAATAAGAACCGTTTAGACAAAGTAAATCCAATTGGTCTAAAGACACGGTACTTTCCCTGGTATCTCGGTTGCGACACAACTCCTATGCACTGCCCTCGTATATATTTGAGGACTTCATCTGATTATCGCTACTCAGCAAGCAAAAATAAAACTATGGTTAAGAATGGAAAATGAAGCTGGTGACAGGGGAAAATGTCTTTGTAGCATTTAGTAATATTCTTAGAAGCAACTAGATTCGTGTTCAGTGGGTGTCAGGTACTGTGCTAAGCCCTTTATATACACTGTCTCATTTAATCCCCACAACGGCCCCGGAAGGAAGATACGATGACCCTCAGTTTGCTGAAGAGGACTTTGGGATTCAGAGAGATTATATATTTGGCCCCAGAATCAATGGTCAATTTGTAATGGAGTCAAGACTTAAAATTAGGCCCACCAGGGCTCTCCTTTCRCTAAGCTGAATTCTCCTGGAGAAGACAGAGAGTTCTTTACAACTCTCATGGCCTCTGAGATGCATGTGAGTAGAGTTTGGCAATAAGTGATTTAATGACAAATTATGGGCAGAGCCAGGAATTGAAGATGGGAAATAGGGGATGGGAGGTAATAAATTCCCACTAAGCCCACCTTTTCAACAAAGGATAAAGACTCRTTGCATATTTAAGTCTTCGTTCCCTAATAACTGCTTCTCCCTGGGATGATAGTATTTCCTGGGCAATAGCAGTGAAGTGTCTGGAGCGTGCAACTCCATTAGGATGGGGAGAGCACACCGGAATGCTCCTGGTGTGGGTTCTGTATATTAAGGGTGGAGACAGTTGATCCCACAGCTGAGTCTCATGCAAGGACTGGCTTAGGGAAGGAAGCATTATTCCTAGATGTGACATGAAAAGGTCATGGATTCATGTACTTTATGGTTTTAGCTTAGAAAACAGAAATATGCACAAGGATTCCATGCTCTGCCTTACCCCATCTTCCCCCTAAGATCTGAACTCCTTGAATACCTCTGTGGTCTCCATTGGTACTGAGGCTCTGAGCACCTACTTACAGTCACCCCTGAATTCAGGTGAGAAGACCACAGGCACATGGGAAGTGAATCTCAAACTGCTGTCACTCATTTGCCATGATAAAGCACACATCACCTCTATTTTAAGATTTATCCTTTTTTTGTTAGTGTTTTTGGTACCAAGGATTGAACCCAGGGACATTCTACCACTGAACCACATCCCTAGCCCTTTTTATTTTTTGAGACAGGGTCTTGCTAAGTTGCTTAGGGCCTCACTAAGTTGCTGAGGCTGACTTTGAACTTAAATCCTACTGACTTGGCATCCTGAGCTGTTAGGATTTCCTGAAAAGATGTGCTTTTCAAGTAAACTATGTTGCTCTTTAAATATTGTCTTTTTTGTGCTTTTCAAGTAAACTATGTTGCTCTTTAAATATTGTCTTTTTTTTTTTTGGTTTGAAGACAAAATATTATTTTATTTTATTTTATTTTATTTTTTTGCAGGCCACAAACCTCCATTTACTCATTTTACCTTTGGACAAAGTCATACTGAATTATAATTTACACAGCATAAAATTCACCTCATGAACTAAATATTGTCTTTAGAGCAGACTTTGCATAATTCCTTCATGTGAAAAACATATTACATGGTACACATAGAAGGCAGCCATAAAAGCTTAATAAATATTAATATGATATTTTTAATTTAAACATATTCCCCGTAACTCCCATCTGAAAAATGAATTCCTCTTAAGAATAGTTGCACCGCCCCTAGTTCCTCAAAAACATTCACTTCAGCATCCCCAAGCTTAGGATAAACGTGGAATTTTCTTTTGATAAGATTTTYTTGCATCCCAATTCACATTTGCCCAGAGAAAGGGCAGATTATTATCCACGTAATTATATTTTGTTGCTAGAGTTGGACATGGAAGATCATGTGACTGTCATTCAATGAATTTTTGTGTAGAGAAGACAAGGCATAAATAGAACATGTTCTTATCCATGTGTGCCCAGCTCTGTCAGTTTATGCAAAGTTGTAGCAAATTTCCTCCTCCATTCCTGCACTACCCTCCCATTTGAATATCAATAGAGATGTGCACGTGTATTCCTAAGTGTCCCTAAACTAGCTTAATTGGGGTGGGGGACAAAGCTGAGTTCATAGTCAGGTACTTCAATAAGCAACACGTTGTATATAATTCTTGATTGGTGTAATGACAAAGGAAAGTCAGAGGGATGAGAGAAAGGCAGAGATGCCTGGCACTGGGAAACCCTGTAGGCCTTTCTCCCAGCCCCTCTGTTTCGACCCCTGTTCTCTCCTTCCTCTCTTAGGCACAAGAAGGGTATCACGTTATTGCCTGGTGCTGCACCCCGTGTCCACATCACATGTTGGAAGCATGAGCCTAGATCCTCCTCCTCCTCAGCCCTCCCTCCTGAGGCTAATGGCCTTTGTAGAGCTGGTGGGTAAACACAGTGGCCTCTTTGCTGTGATGGGTTCACAGAACCCTGAGGACATGGTCTTTGAGGGTGAACCAGGGCCAGGGGCTGTCCCTGCTGAAGACAGGGCCCAGGCTCCCTTCTGCCTATGGCTCCCTCCTCTCTCTCCTGTGGCTGAAGTAAAGAAAGAGCCATCAGCCCCCCATGTAGAAGGCTTGGCTGGCTCTACCTGGGGCCCTGCAGATGATCATTCCACATATTAGGGCTGAGTCTCTCCTCTTTTTTTGGAAAGAGAGTCCCCATGTCCCTTGAAAGCCAAGATGGACCTAGAGTTAGTCTAAAAAAAAAAATGGTTTCTAAATAACTAGCTGCATCAGAATCACCTGAAGGTCTTTCAT